TCAGGAAAAAAATCAAACCACCAGAAAGTACCTAAGAGTTTAAGGACTGGAGGGCACCTGGGTGCTTCAGTCCGGTAAGTGTCCAACTCTTGATTTTGGCTCAGGTTGTGACCTCAGGGTCATGAGATCAAGCCCTTTGTTGGGTCTTATTATTCAATGACAGCAAGGTGTTATTGAACCCACGTCTGGCTCTGTGCTCAGCGTGGAGCGCTCTGCCTGGGATTCTCTCCTTCCCTCTCCCTCTACCCCTCCCCCAGCTTGCAGGAGCTCTCTCTCTCTCTAAAATAAATAAGTAAATCTTAAAAAAAAAAAGGAGAGAGTTTAGGGACTGGAAGCAAAACAAAAGGACAGGTTAATATAATGGTTCCTTAAAAAAAAAATTAAACACTTGGGCGCCTGGGTGGCTCAGTTGGTTAAGCGACTGCCTTTGGCTCAGGTCATGATCCTGGAGTCCCGGGATCGAGTCCCGCATCGGGCTCCCTGCTCAGCAGGGGGTCTGCTTCTCCCTCTGCCCTCTTCCCTCTTGTGCTCTCTGTCTCTCATGCTCTCTCTCTCAAATAAATAAAATCTTAAAAAAAAAAAATTAAACACTGAATTACCATTTGATTCAGCAACAGGACTTCTGCGTACACACACACAAAAGCAGGGACTTTAATCGATGCTTGTACACCTACGTTCATACTGGCATTATTCACCCAATAGCCAAAAAGGTCTACTGACAGATAAATGGATAAACAAAATGTAGTATGTATATGCACTGGAATATTATTTAGCCTAAAAAAGGAAGGAATTCGTGACACACTCTATTATAGCATGGAAGAATACTGAAGACATTCTGCTGAGTGAAATAAGCCAGACACAAAGGGGCAAATACCGTGTGAATTCACTCATTAGAGGTACCTGGTGTTGTCAAATTCACAGAGACAGAAAGTAGAGCGGTGGCTGAGAGGGGCTGGCTGGAGAAGAAGGAAGAGTCAGTGTTTCACGGGGTCAGAGCTTCAGTTGGAGAAGATGGAAAGGTTCTGGAGACGGATGGTGCTGACGGCCGCACAAGAACATGAATGTGCTCAATGCCACTGAACTGCGTACTTAAAATGGTTATGATGGCAAATTTTATATGTATTTTATATTTATGTATCTTTTATCATAATAATTTTTTTTTTAAGTTAGGTTAATAGGGGCGCCTGGGTGGCTCAGTCAATTAAGCGCCTAACTCTGGCTCAGGTCATGATCTCGGGGTCCTGGGATCGAGCCCCGCGTGGGGCTCCCGCTCAGCAGGGAGTCTGCTTGTCCCTCTGCTTCTGCCCCTCCCCCCACTCGTGCTCTCTCTCTCTCTCTCTCTCTCTCTCTCTCAAATAAATAAAAATGAAATCTTTACAAAAACAAGTTAGGTCAATTTTGGCAAGGGCTGATGGACCCACTCAGTAAATTCCACAGGGCATAATAACTTCACAGGCTTAATACTGATCAGTGACAGCAGGGTGTTATTGAACCAGTCTGACCTCTCTAGAGCTCGGGAGGCCGCATGATGAACCTTTATCAACATGCAAAAACTAGCACTGCTTGCCAACAAACATATATATAATTACAGATTTCCCTACAAAAATGTAAATGCAATAAATTTTCCTTTAGAGATATCAGGTGTCAGAAATGCTATAAGGTTAGTTATTAGGGTGTTGATCAACATTACTGATGGCACTGCTAAGTAAATATTAGGGAAACAAATGGACAGGATAAAAGAATTCTCTTTAAAGTATTTCTACTGAAAGAACGAAGAAATGTCTATTTAACGCTGCTCTACTACTGGACTTCTCCCTTCTGAGTCCCTACATATACAGCTGACCCTTGTACAACACGGGTTTGAACTGTGTGGGTCCACTTACACGTGGACTTTGGTCATTAAACACAGGACTGTACTATAAATGCACCTTCTCTTCCTTATGATTTTTTTTTAAAGATTTTATTTATTTATTTGACAGAGAGAGACACAGCGGGAGAGGGAACACAAGCAGGGGGAGCGGGAGAGGGAGAAGCAGGCTCCCCGCCGAGCAGGGAGCCCGGATGCGGGGCTCGATGCCGGGACCCTGGGACCATGACCTGAGTTGAAGGCAGACGCTTAATGACTGAGCCACCCAGGCGCCCCTCTTGCTTATGGTTTTAACATGTTCTCTTCTCTAGCTTCCTTTATTAAATGTAAGAATACAGTACATAATATATAATATTATTATACTTAATGATTATATATTATTATATTAATATATTATACTGTATGATATATACTTTAATTATAAAATATATGCTTATAATCATATGTAATATATAATAATACAGTATATATAACATACAAAATACGTGTTAACTGACTGTTTATGTTATGGGTAAAGCTCCCAGTCAACAGTAGTCTATTAATTAAGTTTTGGAGGAGTCAAACTTATATGCAGATTTTTGCCTGCAAGTGACCTCTGCATTGTTCAAGGGCCAACTGTAATTCTGTTGCACATTATATATAACTAAATATAAATGGCACATAAGATAAATTTACAGCTAACTTATTTTAAAAACACGCATTTTAGTAATTATGGGAGTCTCTACATTTCTTCTATTTAAAAAAATGGAACAGAGTTCAAGTTAGAAGATTTTATGCACATTTCTGGGTATAAACACCAACACTAATAAGCAATACCGTAAAATAAAAAACTGGCAACAGAAGTAACATTCCTCATTACAACTTCACGAGTAACGTGTGCTGAGGGCCACTGGTTTGCAAATACAAGAAGCTTACCACATATCTATAAATACGTTCATGCCAAAATAGTTAACAACATGACAGCTGCGCACATAACAAAGACTTTGAGAAAGTTGTCACTGAATCGGGAAGCCTAGTCCTACTTCATTTATTTTTAAACATTTTATTTATTTATTTATTTGGAGAGTGAGTGAGTGAGCGGCAGGGAGAGGCAGAGGCAGAGGCAGAGAGAGAATCTCAAATAGACTCAGTGTGCTGAGTGCAGAACCCAATGCGGGGCTCGATCCCACGACCTTTGGATCACAACCTGAGCCCAAATCCGGGCTGACTGAGCCACAGGGGTGCCCCAGACTATCCCTACTTTAGACAGACAGAGATAATAGCTAATACTTACTTACAGCTTACTATGTGCTGCACGCTGTTCTAAGTGCTACGTATCTGTATCGATCTGTATCTATATCATCTGTAACTATACCTACATCTTTATCTATATTAACTCCTTTATCCCTTACAACAATGCTCTCAGGCGATACCATTAGCATTCCCATTTCAAAGACAGGAAAACTGAGGCAAAGGGGAGTCTGGACTTCCCCAAAGTTGCATGGCTGGTGACTGGTGGAGCTGGGATGCAAGCCCAGGCTCTAGAGCCCCCACTCTTCACCCCCCCCCGCCACTGCAGGGCCTCTCCACATAAATACGGAAAGTCAGGGAAGATGGCCAGCTTTAGACCCCTCACATGTTCTATACAGTTTAATTTTGATAACCAGGTTACCGACTCTTTTAAGAGTCAATAAGATTAAGTTTCTATAGAGATCAAAGACAGTAACAGATGGAAGGGGGGGGGTGCACCTGCCATCTCTCTGCTTCCAAATGATCTAGTGCAGAACAAAGTCTCCCTGGGCAGAAGTTACATGAGAAGGTGGGTAAAGCAAGAAACAAGGAGGTGTTGCTTTCGGCAGGAAGCGGAAAGAAGCGCACGTCCATGGGAACAGAAGCACAGCGTGGCTGGTATCTGGCGGGTGAGAACTCCGGGGCTGGGGAGCACAGACAGGTGATAACAGGGGAGCAGGGAGGCCCCTCAGAGTCCCCCTTCCGGAGGTCCCAGAGTCCATGGCTGCCTGTCCTCAGCTACCCTGTTGTTCTAGACTTCCGTTTAGCCAGCACATCAGGTAAAGAAGGTAATGCCTGTCGGGCCGTACACCTCAGGTCTCCCCTGCACAGAGATCCTTGTTCTAAAACTGGACAGATCAGAGGGATCCACTGCATTTTTCATATCAAAAGGGCTAAGAGGCAAAGCATGGGCTCAGATCACTGGGGTTTTGAGTGCTATTGTACTGCTGCTTGTAATAAAGGTATTAGCTTCATAAACCTCGTGCACCTTTGTGAGACGAAGCACCCAGTAATGATCACTGTGGACCTGTCACTACCATTTATCATTGCTGGCCTCGGGCAGGGCACTGCACACAGGCGATAAATAGTTCAAACCGCACGGCACGCGGCCCTACTTCATCAGAAGCTCTAGGGCAAAGCCAGAGAATCAGTATTGTTAGAATCCCACCAAGGGATTCTTATCTTGGCCCATGTATCCCCACTTTATGTACAAGGTACCAAGCGGTAAGGCGATCGCCAAAGATAACGTCACTACATGTAGGGTTTGAACTCAACCAGACTTCAGAACCTGGCCTCTTAACTGCTCTGTGGTCCAAGCTCCAACAATTAAGCTTGTGACTAAAAAAAGGCACAAAGTAAGCAAGATGGCTTTCAATACCCACGAGGATCTATCAGCACCAACCTGTATATTGTCTCACAATTTCCCAAACTGGTATTCTCTGTAAGCATACACAGAGGTCTCCTATTTTAAATTAAAAAAGAAAATAACAATGCATTGGATTTCTCCCACATTTGTAGCAAGTCACTTCATTTCATTTTATTTTATTATTATTTTTTAAAGTAGGCTCCGCGCCCAGCATGGAGCCCAATGTGGGGCTTGAACTCACGACCCCGTGATCCAGACCTGAGCTGAGACCAAGAGTCAGACACTTAACTGACCAAGCCACCCAGGCGCCCTTACAACTCACTTCATTTTAGCAAGATTTGGGTCTCTTTTAGCAATTCCAGTGCTTCATCAAATGGGACTGTCTGCATTAGAAGGGCAACCAAATCCCTGCAATAATTAGGCAATGTGGGAAATTGAAAGTAGAGTAAATGTGCAAGCAATGAGAGAGGAAGAACAATAAGGGTAGCTATCCTTTACCGCAAGACGTTGACTTTCTGTCCACCATATTCACACGCCTGGTCTCAGTGCGGAGCTTCCCATCTGTGTTCTCCACCAGGTTGGCAAGGTCATCAATTATCTCTAGAAAGGAAGACAGAGATGCGCAGTTAATACTCCAGAAATACTCCAGCTCACATCACAGTGTCAGAGCTGTGGCCTCCCTACTAATCAATTCTCTCCTGTGCAGTGAGGGGAAAGGTAAAGAGCTCATGTATGTTCTTTGAAATCGCAATTCTGATTCATAAAAGGGGGTGGTGGTGGTGTGGGGGGAGTAGTAGTAAAGAAGAAAACTGATTTCCCGTGAGACTGGGACACAGAGAAGGACTGTCAGAAATCCAAGGGAAAGAAAGCAGGACCCAGCAAAGTTATGCTTGGCCAAGTTGTCATTCCAGCATAAAGCTGGTGGATGGACTATGGGAGACTCCAGGGACTACTGGGGTCCTTCTCGAGAAAACAGCTTGATGATGAAATCTAGCCAACCAAGAGGCAAGTAGAAATAAAGAACTCTAGGATGGAGAGGCCAGAGACCATGACCGAAGAGATGCTGGAGAGATCTGGGGCCATCGAAATACTGAGCTGGGGATCAGCAGATACATGGATTACTTTACAAAAAGGTAGATAAATGTTGTAAACAGTGATGCTATAATTATAACTGAAAGTCAGGAAGCAGTTGGGGGGTTGGGGGGTTTGGGGTTGGGGGGAGAAAGGTGGAAGGAAGTTGGAGGTGTTAATTTCTCCATCACTTCACAGAGGAGTCCTATTGAGCTGTTGAAAAGGGAAACATGGAGACCCACGGCTTTTCAAAACCACCATCTTTTTTTTTTGTCAACCTTAGATGGATCTTTTAGTAATTACTATCTCTTGTCAAGAACACTTTATGTGAAGTTCAGCTTTTCTTCTTCTTTTTTTTTTAAACACTAATCCTCTTCTTTTAAAATTGGAAGTATCGTTGACACTATGCTAATCTCCTTAAAGTGAAATTAAGCACTTAGCAACACTTAAAATAGTATATATTGCATGATCCTAATGATATAAAATTATTTCTATCCACCCTTTCATATTGGACAAACCTACAAGGATATTTCTGGATGACGTCAACCTAATGTGAATAATGATTATTTCTAGGTACTAGGATCCTGGATGATCTTCCTTGCATTTTCTGTACTGTTTGAATTTCTTCTAATGAGTACACATTATTATTTCAATTTTGGTTCCTGTTCCTCACTCCTTCCTCCCTTGCTCTTTTTTGTTGTTGTTGTTGTTGCTTTAGAGATACACTATCCAATACGAGTCACTGTTTCTGTTAAAGAAATAAAAGGAATCGAAGGAAGTTTCCAGAAGGATGCCGGAGCTGAGTTTCGAAGGCCGTGTTGGTGAACAGGTAGGAAGAGAGCAACGCGTATGCAATGAACAGCATGTGGGAGGCACAGAAGAGCTGGCTGCTCTCTCCTGGCTCCTGCAGCCCTTCCTACCACATCTGTTTACTTACGGACCTTTAAACTTCGCATCTAATGATTTGCTCGCATGTCTTTCCTTTGCGGGAAGAGTACGACAGAGACTCCCTTTCATTCATGGCTCTACCTGTGATGCCCAGGAGAGTGCCTAGTACACAGCCAGATAAAATAAATACAGATAAACACAGATAAAGGCAACAAATGGATGAAGTCTAAAAGAGAGACATAATTTCAAAGCACTCTGCTGCATCTTAGACTAAGCCAAATTTGTCAAATATTACCTATAGAACACCTGCCTAGAAAACCTTTCACTGCTATTTAACAATTCACTCGTGACTCTCTATTCCTTCATATTCAGTGACATTCTCTCTCCCCGTCTTCCTTCCATCTGTCTCCAAGCTCTGTCTAGAGTCTCCTCTTCCCCTTAAATGCTGACAATCCCACACTGCTGTGTATTTTTACTCTAGTACTACCATGGTGATTTTACATACCTTTTGGTGTCCTCAATATGTAAATTAAAAACTTGAAAATCTGCTCCACATAGCTCTCCAAAATTCTGGACTCAGGCAGCGAACTGCCTACTACTTATCTGTACCCTGAGATTTCTACAAATATCGGACTCTCGAGGTCTCTGAAACTAAACTCTTCATCTTCCCCTAAACCTGAGTCCCCTCCTACATTCCCTGTCCCCATCAATGGCACCGGCATTCACTTGCTGGCCCACGCCAGAAATCTTCAGTCACTCGGCCTCCCCCTCTTCCCCAGCTCGGACATGCCACTTGCAGTCACTCAGGTGACCCTGCCTCTGGGATCTCTCGATCCCACGATATCGCTTAAATTCTGTTACTCATATCTCACAAAATCGTGCCAGTGTTTCCAAAAACAATGTCCTAACTTATCTTCCTGTTGCTAGTTCTGCATCTTCTCAATCCATTCTCCATACTATAGCCAGGGACATGTTTTATTTCATTTTCAAGTTTTTATTTAAATTCCAGTTAACATACAGTGTAATATTAGCTTCAGGTGTAGAATTTAGTGATTCATCACTTCCTTACAACACCCAGTGCTCATCACAATAGTGCCTTCCTTAAGCCAGGAACATATTTTAATTTTTTATTTTAACTAATTGAAACTTAAAAGCTGTGTGTGGATGGTGACTACTGTCTTGAGCAACACAGATCTAAAGCAATCACTTAAAAAAAAAAAGAAAGAAAGAAAACCACACACATACACACACACCCCAAAAGGTATAGATTTAAAAAAAAACAAAAAACAGAGGGAATAAAATTAAATACTAAAAAAATGCAGGATTTACCCAAAAGAAGGGAGGAAAGTAGGCACAAAGGAACAAAAAACAGGACAAAAGGAACACAAATACCTAGAAGGCAGACCTAAACCCAATTATATCAATAGTCACATTAAATATAAATGGACTAACTCCTCAATTAAAAGACAAAGAATATCAGTCAATGGGGCGCCTGGGTGGCTCAGTCCTTAGGCGTCTGCCTTCGGCTCAGGTCATGATCCCAGAGTCCTGGGATCCAGCCCCGCATCGGGCTCCCTGCTCGGCGGGAAGCCTGCTTCTCCCTCTCCCACTCCCCCTGCTTGTGTTCCCTCTCTCGCTGTGTCTCTTTCTTGTCAAATAAATAAAATCTTTAAAAAAAAAATATCAGCCAAGATTAAGAAAAAAGGAAAGAAAGAAAGAAAGAAAGAACAACATATGCTTTCACAAGAAATTCACTTTGAATATAAAGCCTATAAAGTGTGTGCCTGAGAAAGCCGACATGGCTACGCTATATTACACCAGACAGACTTCAAGCCAAGGAATATTATCGGAGATGAAAAGAAACCTTTTCTCATGGTGAAAGAGCACATGTGACGAAAACTAAAAAAATCCCCACATTGGAATATTAAGGAAACCACCTCTGAAAAACCTATGAGACAAAAATAAAAATCACAGGAAAAACAGAAAATACTTTGAACTGAATGATAATGAGAATTCAAAATGAAAGTCTGTGGGATGCAACTAAAGCAGAGCTTGGACAGAAGTGCACTGCTCTAAACACAAACATTGGAAAAGGAGAAATACATGAAATCAGTGATCAGACTAAGATGCTCATGATCATTCCAATAAACGCAGAAAAAGGATTTGACAAAACTGAGTGTCCGTTCATGATACAAATTCTCAGCAAAACAGGACTGAAGGAGAACTTCCTCAACCTGACAAAGGACATCTGTGAAAACACCAGAGCTAACACTATCCTTAACGGTGGATCACTGAACCCTTTTTCTCTAAGATCAGGGAACAATGTGAAGACATCTGCTCTGATGACTTCCGCTGAACATTTTATTAGAAGTCCCACATTGTTTAAGGAGGCAAGAAAAGAAAGGCAAAAGATTTGAAAAGAAGATATAAATACGTATATTTGCAGTTGACATGATTGTGTACAGAGAAAACGATGGATTTATTTAAAAACTACTAGACCTAATTAGTGACTTTAACAAATCTGCAGACACAAAGTCAATTATAAAGAGCAATGTATTTCTATATACTAGTGACAAGCAACTGAAAAGTCAGAGTAAAAAACTACCATTTATAATAGCATCAAAAAGTACACCAAATGCTTATGTGAGAGTAGGTGGTGAGTTAGGTTCTAACAGGCTACCTGGAGGCCAACAATGAGGAGGTTATGGCCAGCTCTCGGGAAGGTCAGAGGCCTGTCCTGGCAGCACTCCACAAGAAGCCAGATCAAACCTACCAGGCCCTAGATGGCGGCTGCCATGAAGGAAACCCCTGACTAAATTAGGAAGAAAAGGTGCAAACCCCTGCATCCCTGCCTGGAGAGGTGAATATTCCACCCCTTAGTTAACAACCATCAACCGTCAATCATCAATAAAAGATAGAAACCCAACCCCCAGGGCTCACCTGCTCTCACATCTCAAGAGTGTATTTTTCACTTTAACAAATGTTCCTGCTTGGGTCACTCCTCTGTGCTGTGTCTGTCCTTAAATTCTTCCTTCTAACAAGACCAAGAACCTTCGGCAACACCTTTGGGACGGACTGGGTTGAGGCCCCAGGGCCCAGGGTCTCCCCAGTCTATTCAGTGACACTTAGAAATAAATCTAACCAAAGATGGGCAAGATGTCTACACGGAAAACTGTAACAGTGCTGGGAGAAATTCAAGAAGACCTAAAGAAATGGACAGCTGTCTACCACCTGCACGGATTGACTCAGTGTTTTAAAGATACGTTTTCTCTCTCTCAATTGATCTACAGATTCATTGTAGTCCCAATCAAAATCCTAGCAGGTTTTTCACTCATATGTGGAATTTAAGAAAGAAAACAAAAGAACAAAGGGAAAAAAAGAGACAAACCACAGAACAGATTCTTAACTATAAAGAACAAACTGGGCGCCTGGGTGGCTCAGTTGGTTAAGCGACTGCCTTCGGCTCAGGTCATGATCCTGGAGTCCCGGGATCGAGTCCCGCATCGGGCTCCCTGCTCGGCAGGGAGTCTGCTTCTCCCTCTGACCCTCCTCCCTCTCATTCTCTCTGTCTCAAATAAATAAATAAAATCTTTAAAAAAAAAAAAAAAAGAACAAACTGATGATTATTAGAGGGGTAGGGG